TGTCTGTGTCTGTGTGTGTGTGAGTGTGTGTGTGTGTGTGTGTCACAGCTAAAGCTCATTACTCTTTTAGAAAGAGTTTTAATTATGCAGATCACACACATCCATCTTATCAGTGTCTAATGGTGAGCAGCGTCTGTTCAATGGTAAGAAGCTAGAAGATGACCTGAAGCACAGAGGAAATGATGAAGGAGGATTCTTCAGGATCTATGAGGTCAGTCGCTGTAGTAGGGTGGACTTCCTCTCTGTGTCCGAACACAGAACGGGCTCAGAGCCAGACCTGGGCAGAGACGGCTGTACACCGTCATAAACGCTTCACACTCGCTGATCAGTGCAACTGCCTGCATAAACTACAGGACTCAGAAACTGCTGTTTGAATCAACTACAGAGTTTCTGCATCAAACCCTTTAAGTCAACGTGATTTATTCATACTTCAAATCCCACAAATGAATTATATAATTTAATATATATATAAACTTACGTAAAAACTCAATGGGGCCAGTTATACTTTCAATAATACTATTTCCGTATGCATTTGTTTGAGAAACATTCACAGTTACAGCATCTCTCAGCTCCTGGAAAAACCTCCAAAAGATTAACCTAAATCACATTCAAATTAGAGATATAACGGTTTGAAAGTTTCTAATCATGATTATAATGACCAAAATTATCACAGTTATCAGTATTATCACGGTATTGTTAAAATGTGCTGGAAATGTTCAAAAAAGTACTGACACATAAATCACTTTACCAAGTTTTATATTTAAAATCAACAAACAACAAATAAAATTACTTTTTGTTTGCATAATCAGTAAAACAATAACATTACCAATGATGTCCGCATTTTAAATGACAACATGACTGACAACAGTTTATCTAATAGCATGTTCAAATATCTATTGTAAATGTTCAAATAAAGCTTTGAAAAAGTCTCATAAAAAGGTAAACCTCACATTTCAGCCTTTAAATAAAGAAAATGGTTAAGTCAAAATGATAATTGATTAATAAATGATTATATGTATTTTATCTGCTCCATAAATGATTCTAGATTAGAACTTATCTCAATTGTTTAAATGTGTAGAATCCACATAAGCCTGTTTTTCATCAACCGGTCAAAATTTACAGCAGGGCATGCAGATTTGGTCAATTTTTTGTCCAGACAGAAACTGCACACAGACTGAATGTGAATGTAAGTCTCTGTAAATCTACTCTCTGACAGCAGGTGGCACTGATGGAGCAGCAGAATTACAGCTGTTTCCTGTAACCTCCGAGGACAAAGCAGCATTGTGATTAAAACACTACTTTATTAGGTATTACATGGAGCGAAGACGAAAACAAAATGCCATCGAATCTTTTCTGAAGACAATCAGAACCTTCAGGGGTACATTCATATAATTAATCATTTGCATTCATTTGTATAATTCCCTTAGCACTCTTTTAAAACCTCCCAGCTTTTCTGCCATGTTTTCACACAAAACGAAACTACTCTGTGTGCTGTGCGCACCTGAGACTGTTATTTAAAACTGTGCTTTATGATGGACAGTATTTATTTATCCTCAGTTGTTCAAATCGTGGTAATCAAACACGGTTATAATGATAATTAAAATATGAAAGGGTAATACTAACCGTGGGGAATTTTATCATGATTTATCGTCAACCCGGTAATTGTTACATTCCTAATTCAAATGTAACAAACATACTTCATTCTGGACCATTTATCCTTCTGTCGACCCGCACATAGGTCTGTCCACACACGCACAGGTTTCCGTGTTTTATGGGTTCATTCTATAGGTGTAATGGTTTTTCTACTGTTCAAACTGTATTTTCTATCCTCTCACCCTAACCCTACATCTACACCTACCCCTCACACAAAACTACAGGCATATTTAGATATTCAGAAAACTTCATTCCGTATTATTTATAAGCTTGTTTCCTCATGGAGACCAAAAACAATTTCCCCACAAGGTAAACATTTATTGGTATTACTTTACTTGATGGGACATTTGGCCCTCATAACATAGTGAATACCAGTATACTCACTCACACTTGATTTTTTATTTTAGTGGGGATTTTCCATTGACTTCTACAGAAATCAGTAAACAGAAAATATTTCCATCTTCCTGCTGTTAATCTAAGATTCCTGCCTTCACAGTTACAGTAAATGCCTCGCCTATCAAAGCTCAGCTTTCACTATAAAAAGTGATGCTTCACTTGCAGTAACAAAAAGATGAATAAAATCAGCCTTTTAATGTGGAAAAAAAATCACATGTATTACACACCAGTGTAATTATTTAGCTCTGTGACTGACATTAATGACATGACCCGAATCTCACCGATAACACATGACTGTGATACACCTGAGATTACGAAATGTGGATCATATTCTAGAATACAATCACTCAAAGTCGTCTTTAGAACGCTGTTCAGGGATCATCTTGAACAGGAAGTGAGTTTGTGAGCAGCTGCAGACAGGAAGTGCTCCCCCTCCTCAGTTTCTCTGCAGGGTATCAACCAGTATCTTATTGTACTCTAGCAGTTGTTTGTTGACGTTCTTCATCACTGGGCGGTAATCGCTTTCTACACCTTTGGAGGCGATGACTGCACAATAGAGTTAAGGAGGGCTACACATCAACTGTATTTACACTTCCCATAGAGATCCATACATGATACAAGGATACATTCTTTCATCACAAAGTTGTTCTGCACAAGATGTTGCCACTTCTTCTCCATGTTGGTCAGCTGAAAAGAGAACAGACAGCAAAACATCAAATCACACAACAAAACACACCTGAAAAACTTTACATGACACCAAAAAGCGGCGCTCACGTTCAGCTCTATTTTGCTCTTGTCATGCAGATAAACAGCTTTAGTCTCAAATTCAACTCAAGTCTACTTTATTTGTATAGCGCTTTCCACAATACATGCTGCTTCATAGCAGCTTTACAGAAAGTCATACTGTTATGTGCCTTCTATAAAGCACCATGCAAATAAAATGGATTTGACGTAATGCTTAGAGCAGGTTTAAGGCTGGGAAGTATATAACGATGGTCAGGGACATCAGATTCATGGATAGCAGGACTAAGTGTGTTTCAGGGGTCTGACATCCATCCCCAGGATTTTTTTAAGACCCCAAAATGTAACAACAGGTGTAAAATTGAAATTATGTTATTTTCGGTAAAAGGTTGGCTAAAATTATACCTTCTCATAATCTGTGTTAGACACTAATGTACAATAAGACTGACTTCATTATTATCCAAAATAAAATTGAAGTCCACTCTGTCCCCATCCATTCATCCATCATCCATCCAACAACAACAAAAGGAACCAAAATGACTGTACTGTGTAGCCAAAATATGTCTTGGATGTTATTTTAAGTGAGAAGACATGCAGGTCAATCACAGACCATTTTATTGATCTCATATCACATTGATGTCACTGAATTTCCAGAATTGTTATGTCTCCACAAAGATCTCATACAGTGATGAACTTGCTCAGATCCTTGTGCCTGCCCTGAATTAATTAGAAGATGAAACGTTTGATGAAAATATATTGACTGAAATATATTTATCTCCCTTTGAGAACTGAACCGGTTTGTTTTATGACAAGGTTTGCCATCGGTCCGTTGTGATGGGATCATCCCCTATTTAAAGATGAAATAAGGTAAACTTGTTTGTGTTCACAGAATATTTTAGAATGCTGCTGTCTCCAAAAACACTGGAACAAGCCGTTTTCTTGAGTGCACGTAAACAGATGAACCATTTCTCTCAGTCACATATTACCCACCAGATCACATCTCTGGAGTTTGACTGGGTGGTTCCTGCACTAAAACAGTTCAGACGAGGCAGCTCTTGCTAGTGTCTGCATGGGCATTATGGGAGAAATGTACACAGTGAAATCATGATTATTCTCTGTCTTTATCAACCCAATGCGATGTCTGGACAGATCGGTTTGCTCTGTTAGACAGAAACAGTCAGTGAAATCTCAGCGCGGCACAGCTATGAGTGAACAGCAGAAACACATCTGAAGCTGAATGGAGTGTGTATGCAGACACGAGTGTGTTTCTCACCTCCACATGGGTCTCGTTCTCTTGTAAATGGTACTTAAGATGTTAAAATGTTCAGAGATTTAAACAAAAAGTAATCAATAAATAGAACAAAATAAAAAAGAAAAAAGACTGCAAGTGACGTCGCTAGCGGAAGCGCAAGTGTCTGAGAATGCAAGTCTGAGAATGCAAGTGCAAGGCTGCAGCCAGACCCTTCTCAATGAACTAGGTGTGAAAACACCCTAAGACTCCTAAATAGATATTTGATCACATTTTTTTGTTACAAATTATGTAGGAACAGTAATAGATTAATTTATTATCTTTTAGAATCAAAACTTTGTATAATCTTGACAAAATACATATCGTTGGAAAGGTCTGAGTCTCAAGATTCCATATTTGGTGGTTACTTTGTGATAGAAGTAATACTGAGAGAAACATTTATACATTTATGACAGAAAAATTGCATTAAAAAATCAATGGCATTTCAATGGCGACTGGTGGCTAGTTTTGGTATAACGCCCAAACAAATTGCATAGGAATCTCAATTTTTTTTTATATCACCTTCAAATTTGGAACACAACTTATCTAGACATGTTCATGGCCCTAAATGAGAAAAAGTTATACAATTTCTGGAAGAAAAAGTTAAGTTAAATAGTATTTCGTATACATTGAAAATAGAAATGATAGCTCACTTTTACCATCGGAGTCTGAGAAAGTCTTTTTCAGCACTGAAAATAATGAGAAAAGCTCCTTTTTTCCCTTTCCAGGGTAGTAAAACACCAACATAACAACATATACCCAAGAATTATATTTAATTTGGGTCTGTACAGTTGCCTTGAAAAAAAAAAAGAAAAGAAAAGTGGGTCAAATTGACCCGCGAACATCAAAATTGTCAAAAAATTATTTGTGTGCACTTCAAAACACATCAGTATATCCTCACTTTGCATGCATGTTCATGGCCCTAAATGAGAAAAAGTCACAAAATATCAAGAATAAAAATCACAGATTAACTGGTATTTCTGACAGCTCGAAAATCAAAATGGGTCAAATTGACCCGGAACATAATACAAGGGTTAATGCGACAGCAAACATCATGAAGCTTTAACCATTAGGTGTCTTTTAACATGACGACTTTGGCTAATTTCCACAATCATTTTTGTGCCACATGAACATGTGTAACTACAGTGCGCTTGCTGCTTGTGAGGAGAGCAGGAAGCAGTACAGGGTTCAGAGCTCATGATCTATAACCTTTGGAAATGATTACAAGCAGATTTGGCTACTCCGTTACAAAGATTCACGACACACTGAAACTGGCTACGCTGCAGAAAGAGGATGTGCTGCTGGTCAGTGTGAGATGCAGAAATACTGAGACTGACCCATTGAGATGCCCATCCTCAGGGATGCCCTAATCTGCGTCCCACCAGGAGACCTGGTTTATCTGAGTGCTGGGGGGGGCATTACAGGAAGGAAGTGGAAGAAGGCTGCTTTCCTCTGATAGGCAGAAGGCCCAGCTCACTGTTTGTAGAGAGAGAGAGAAAGAGAGAGAGAGAGAGAGAGAGAGAGAGAGAGAGAGAGA